CAGAGGAGAACCTGTACTGGTGATTTCTGCAATGTTGGCTATATAACAGGGTCAGAGGCAGCCCACCGCAATGCAGGGATTTTAGTCAAATAAACTAGCAGTAGCTTAGCTAGATGAGTGTCTAGTTCTACACTCAATGGAAAGAAGATGTGGTGCTAGATTATTGAGATATTTTGGAAAATAGCAAAATAATAAAACAATCACTTAAAAAATAACTTCAATGATAAATTCTTTGTAAAATGAGTCAAATACATTTTACTGTCTATTATCATGTTTGTGTGTCCGCCAAAAATTTGGTGATTCCACATGTTAACATGTGATAGTTGTTGAAGTTGAAGACTACTCAAATTGTGCTCAGAAAAAAAGGAAGTTGAACATCTACATATCTGTGACAACTCTGTAACTTCACCTGCTAATGAAGCCAATGTGTTATGATGGAAAGCTCCAGAACAGCTACTAAATAGACCTTAGATAGAGCTTAAATTGGTTTGCGTTTAATTTCACATCCTGCATGGCATGATTTTACTGGATTTATATGGACTTTTATACAACTATCTTTGTGGTAAGGTAGATGTAGAAAGACTATGTAGGCTATCAGTGCATTGTTATCTTTTGAGTTACTGGTTCCCAAGCTGATTCCAAAGCTGGAGGTCAGAATACTTGGGAACCAAGCTGGGGGTCACAAGTTAAATCTGAAAGGGGTCAAGTGATTGTCAGAAGAAAGAAAGAGAAACATTCCTACAATGCTACACAAACTTACGTTTATTTCTTTGTACTAATTTTTGCTTTTACTTTATATCTACTTTTTCTTCAGAACTCACTTCAGAATTATTCAAATAAAACAAAAAATCATTCTTTGGTTGAACGGGTCACAGGCAGTAGACATTTGCATCTGATGATGACACTGATTCATTTTAGGGGTTACAAGCCAAAAAGTTGGAGAACCACTGCTTTGAATCTTAAATAATGATATTTTTTGTTGTTAAAATTGAATTCTTTATTTTTTTTTTTTTGGACCAGAGATTCTCCTCAGTATTTTTTCTTTTGTGTTCAGCAGCCAGGTGGGAGTTTATATTCTTAACACTTGACAATTTTCTATACTTGATTCATTTGTTCATTCTATAGAGGAGAAATTCTCTACCAGGAATTGTATTCCCAGCAGTGCAGAGAAGGCTAGGAAACAGCATTAGAAAATAAAAATTGGACTTAACGAAGTAATACGTTTCTGGGCCTTGTTACCCCACTACTGTGAAGAGGTCTCTTTGGGACTGATCCGAATAAATCTTTAAATATATAATAGACAGTCAAAACATTCTGCATTAAATAATTTATGGTAACAAAACTTCTGTCCATGCGTTAAAATCGCATCAAAGATGTGCAGTGTTTGTCAGGATTTAAGAAAGTATGGGAAACACTTTGCCTGCATAGAACTGAATAGATTTAGGATTTCTAGGAATGGGGAGGTGGTTATAGGGGGGGAGCTGAGGTGTCAAATATTAACAAGAAGGTCCCATCCCATCACCTCCTCCAGTTCCTGAGCGGTTCCTCATTAGCATTGGTATTGTGCTCCAGGAGTGAGGTGACAAAGCAAAGTGATTCTGGTCTCAATGGTTTTGAATCGGCTTGAAATCCCCTTTGTGTTGGCCAATTGGCCCCTTACACCCCCTCCACCTCCACCCTCCTCCTCCTACCCGGTCTATGGCCATCAACAGAGGAACTACCAACCCAGCACCCTGAATGTTTTTAATGTTTAGCATCATAATACCAAACTATACTGAGAAAAGGGATATATGCGGTCTGTCTGTGGCTATTGTCATCAGGACAGCAGGATCTGAGTTGTATTAAACACCCTTTATTACATAAAGATGAGTCAACAATGTGTATTGCTGACACACAATAATATTTGAATTCATGGGAGAACAGAGCTAAGAAAAACAGCCCTGTTGTGTCAGTGCAGTTTTCAGATAATATGATGAGTTTAATATAAATTAAAGCTTACATATGAGATTCATTCACACACACAGTAAGTAAATTCATCCTTAAGTTTGTCTGAAAGAAATCTCACTATGGCACCACATCTGCAAATCCCAATGGGAAAAAGTAAAAAATTAATTTTCACAAAATAGTCTTAACTCAATATTCACGTACTAGCCTTTTTTAGGCTTTATTCGTTGTGTTTATGCCTTTATTTCTGTTATTCACAAAATTTTATCCACATGTGGTTTAAGTTTTCTCATCACATGAGCCAATATATTTTTCTTTGTCTCTATGTTCTGTTTGTGACATTATTACCCTGCATTGTACAATACTGAAGAGATGTAGGCAGTTTTTACGGTATTTTTACGTGTTAAATGGAACAACATATCCCCAATTCTGTGTTAGTACCTTTCAGACAGCATATCGAGGTGAAATAAAGGTACAACATTCCTGCAGTGTAAAAGGGGCTTTTGATTATACAAGCTGATATAACATAATGTATAAGATGTGACCCTATTCTTTACACAGGACTAAATCCAAGGGCATAGGTTTGCATATGCCCTCCACCAAGCTACATCTCCAAGACAACCAATTTAGGCATGCTAGCATTTGATTGACTAAAAGGGTGAGGCTATCTAAAGGTTCACATCATTTGAGAATATCATAGTGGTAGCTGACATCATCAGAAAAATGTCAACTGATGTTATTTAATGTTAAATAGCAAGCTAACCCTGGCTTTTGTCTTCTGTAGGCTAGCAGTCAGGTTGCTAGCAATTTAACATAAATTGGTGGATATATCAAAGTATGAGTTTAATTTGTGTCAAAAAATCCCATGAAAATGTCACCACCAAATGTCAGTATGACTTTTTCATGTCTTACCATACTATGACTTTTTATGCCTTACTATACTATGACTTTTTTATGCATTACTTTACTATGCCTTTCTTTTACACCTTACTATACTATGACTTAAAGATTATGTATGTTTGTGTAGGATTTTCTTAATAATTTCTTATAAAATTTAAACATATATTGTATGTCTATCTTTTATATTTGCATATATAATATAAACATATACTGACAGGCCTTAGGATGGATATATATTTATGTAACATACTGTATGTCTCAAATATAAACAGACATACTAAAATACATGTTTCTATTAGCAAGACATATATGTCAAAATATGGTATTGTTCCAATTTCTAACAGGTTTCATATGTATGTTGGCATATATAGGCTATACTTTAAATACATATATGATTTTACTTCACACGTACATGTATTTTTTATATGGTAATTCAACACATGTACAGTACATATATTACATCTGCCGATGGGCATTCCTGAATGTAAATTCAGATCTTATATGTTAATAAACCGTTTGGTTGACGGCATTAAAAAGCCAGTCTCTTGGGGTGTCGTGTGGCGTAGTGGTCTAAGCAGGCGCCCCATGTGTAGAGGCTACAGTCCTCGCTGCAGTCGGCCCCGGTCCGAATCCCGCATCGGAAGGCCTTTGCTGCATGTCATTCCCCCTCTCTCTGCCTCCCCATTTCCTGTCTCTCTACTGTACTATCAAATAAAGGCATAAAAAAGCCCAAAAAATATACTTAAAAAAAAAAAAAAGCCAGTCTCTTTGTTTTGGAGGGGTGGGGGGAGGGGTTGTTGCGTCCCTACCAATGTTGAGACCAAACCCGCAGCCTTGACTAAATCACTTACTGTATATCAGTCACAAAAAGAAAGTCTAATACTGGCCATGAGAGGGTCCCCTCATTCCTGACAAATGCATCTGTTCATGGTGATGACCACAGATGTGTTTTGGTAATGTGGATAACATACTAAAGCTTCTCAATTGTTTAATAGATTTAAATGGTAACTGGTGTGGACCCAATGACATCCTCTCTACAGCAATGAGATACACAACTCTTTTTTTCACTTTAATTCATCATCTCATGCACTTACAGAACACACATACACAATGGAGAGAGAGTGAGCTGCTAGCTTCCGTGCAGACTGGTAAAATGGATCTGTCATATTTCATCTTTGGGTTTGAGCTCATGTAGTGTCTGAACCTCCATGTGAGACACTTTGACCAGTTATTGTGTGTTTTTGAAACTTATTTCAGGCCTGCTGCTCAATCTTCCAGAGCGTCCTACATTGCGCCCCGAACTGTGCCCTGAAACTGCGGTGTTTCTGGTTTAACAGCAAAGTGTGGATTAAACCCTTTGCCCTTGCTGACAAAAGCCTCATCTTTGCGGGTTTATTGACCAGTGGAAAAGGGGTTTTATTAACAAGCTGCAATAAAACTCCTGTGTACCAAAAACACACCAAATACCAAAAACACCAATCACAGATATAAAGCAAATTGACCATGTCGTTATTGCTCTGCAACCTCAAACAGAGGTAATGTGTCAATTTCTGTAGCAGGGCTCTGAAACATGTTATCAGTTCAAAAGCAATTCTCATAAAATAAGGAAAAGTAATGAAGTATCAAGCTGATTTGTTGACACATTAAATGTTAGTTGTTGTTTCTGTAGCTACATATCTTTTTTCCCCCACAGAGGTTAATTTATGGTGATATCAGCATCTTGTGAAGGGGAGGATGTATGTTAAACTCTTCAAAATACTATTTCTGAAAATGCACTCTTTCAGAGTAGAAACGCCTCCCAGCAGTTTACAGATTGTATGTTCCATTCATATGTGTATTGATTTTACTGTTGTGACCTCTGACTTTATGTGGCAGTACATACTGTATATTTCATGCCAATAAAATATAGAACTGTATGAGTGAAGAGCAAACAGAGAAACAGACAAAGAGAGACTGAGAACAAAGAAGCGGGCGTGCCTTTAGGTGCAGCTCCACCCATTTATCGGCCATCCAGCCAATCAGCTCGTGGATATGCAAATCATCTCGCAGCACCGCATCGTCCCTGCCCAAGCGGTGACGTCATCCGCACATCTCTCTGTCTAGCTCTGCAAGGACTCAGACAGAAGCAACAGAGGATCTGAGGGAAGCCAGCCGGGGAGGGGCGCTTTGTCAGGAAGGAATATCATTACTATCACCACCACCGGCTCTGGAGTAAACACGCTTTTTTCCGCCCTCGTCGGCACGGACCCGGACATCCAGTTTCTATCGGGAAAACAAAGGGGGTGGATGTTATTTAGTAGCTCCTTGCACTGTTTTTCTTCCCCCATCAGCCGCACTGATTTATTTGCACTGACCCAATTGTCTTTGAAAACCGGGTCCGGTGCCTCTCCCCTCCTCCTCCCCTCTCCTTTCTTTCTCCCCTGATCACTCCTTCTTTGCCCTCCTTCCTTTTGACTTTTATCCGATTCTGCAACGCTGCGAAGTCGCTAAGATGCCCAGCTCCCTCTTCGCCGATAGCAGCGTCCAGGGAGATGCACTGGACGACCAGAGAGCCCTGCAGATCGCACTAGATCAGCTCTCCCTGCTCGGCTTGGATAACGACGAGAGCTCCCTGTACGACAATAACCAGGAGCCCCGGAAAAAGAGCGTCAACATGACTGAATGCGTCCCGGTTCCCAGCTCCGAGCATGTGGCTGAGATTGTAGGCAGACAAGGTGTGTTTTTCAGTGTCTCAACTTGGTTTACCTGTGTAGTTGTCACGTTCTGCAGCTGATTTGTACTGAGACAGCCATGCACCCAAACGAGCTACTGTGTGGGAGGAACAGAATGCCAATACACGCTCAAATAATGCATGTCATGTTTTAGCACAGCCTTGCTTGTCTGCGCAAGCACTGAAACTACATAGCCTAGTGGTATCTGGTCTAAACATGGGGCGAATTCGGCAGCTCTGCGATCCACCAGGTAGTCACCAGTTTAATAAAACGTGAACTTTTGTTAGTGTCTCGCCGGTTAGTCACATATTGTTCCTCCTCTATTAATACAAAGAAGTGGGCGGCAGCGAGCAGCATTGAACAGTTCAAGAAGTTGACATTAAATGAAATAAGTGCCCGTTATTGTAATTTTGTAAAAGCCGAATTGAAGAATGGCCTGAACCAATTCTGATAAGATAATAGGTCATATTTTCTGATGCTCTACCTTTTCGGGCAAGTAAAAGATCGTTGAGTTATGAAACATCTTTATGGAGTTTAGAAAAAGAATGGCTCGTACCGGGGTTAATGGAACATCCTGTGTAATTAAATGAAGAGATCGGGCAACATAAAGCAATGAGCGCTGACATGTCAGGTTATTACAATCATTATTTGATATTATAATCATTCTTTTGTAGGTCACCGAATTAGCTCAGAGGAAACAGTGGCTCTCACGGATGTCTTTGTTAATAAGCTGCTTGCGACTTGATCCCCGGCTTTAATTTATGACTATCATAATGAGCAGTACCGGATCAAATTAGGACAACGGTCACGATCTTATACCTTGTCACTGGCAGCAGACGCCCATAACTGCACAGACCTCGCTAGTCTTCCAGCAGCAGGGCTGCAGGGCGGTACTGGTGCTTGGTTACATATGCGGAATCTTTTCCCCTCCCTGCAATACTACTGCTGCTGCTGTTGTTCCCAGAAAAACAAAGGAATCGTAAGGAACCACGAACTCCCACCCACCACAAAAAAGCGATTACAGTGGGATATTTGTGAAGTAGATGTTTTCACACCATACACCCCACACCCATCCCCTTTTGTCAGGTTATATCAGGTCATAAGTGGAAAAAAAGCGGATTGAACATGACCTCAGGGATTGCTTTCAGGGAGCCTCATAAAAGAGACCCTATCCTCATTTGACCTGCATCAGATTCATACAAACTCATTATGAATTTATGTCAAAGATTTAAATTGACTGTAGATTGAGGTGAGGTGGGTTTACCCTCCTCTGCATCACTGGTTACATCACCCTGTCCCACTCAGCTGGCTTTGCTCTGCTTATTATGTCATTCCTCCACGGCCCTTTCCTCAGTCCCATTTTGATCGTAAAGAGATGTGTGTTTGTGCTTAAAGGCTTTGGAATGCAACTTTTAAGCACCGCTGTTGCACCAACATGCATTGTCAGGCTATTGTTTAATTACATAGCTTGTTCGCCTTTCCATAATGCCATTAATGTAAAAGAGGAACAAGAGTCTAATAGCAGCCATTGTAGATGTTGACTATGTTGTAGTAAACGAACAGGTATCATCATGGATCCACAAGTGAGTTTTCTTATGGGTTATTTTTGTCCTGCTGTGTATTTGTGGTGCTGCAGCATAAGGGTCGTTTCATCCAATTCCATGAGTAATGATTTAACACATGACACATTTCAAGCTGTTGTTATATGCAACCTGCCCTCACTTTTGCTATTTGCCTCCATGTGCCAGGTTGCAAGATCAAAGCACTGCGAGCGAAGACCAACACCTACATCAAGACCCCAGTTCGAGGCGAGGAGCCTGTTTTTGTGGTTACAGGAAGGAGGGAGGATGTGGCTATGGCTAGGAGGGAGATCATCTCTGCGGCTGAGCACTTCTCCATGATCCGAGCCTCGAGAAACAAAAACACCACCCTGAATGGGAGTGGCACCCAAGTCCCTGGACCACCTAACCTGCCTGGACAGACCACGATCCAGGTGCGGGTGCCTTACCGCGTGGTGGGGTTAGTTGTAGGCCCCAAGGGTGCCACCATCAAGCGTATCCAGCAGCAGACCCACACCTACATCGTGACACCCAGTCGAGACAAGGAGCCAGTGTTTGAGGTGACAGGGATGCCAGAGAATGTGGATCGAGCACGCGAAGAGATTGAAGCCCACATCGCCATGAGGACAGGAGGCCTTATTGAGCTTCAGGATGAAAATGACTTCCATGCCAACGGGACTGATGTGGGTTTTGATTTGCAAGGGCATGCCACCCTGTGGTCCAAGCCCAGCGCTGGGATGACCCCCACCTCAGTGCGTAAACCCTTCTCCAACTACCGCAACGACTCGTCCTCCTCCCTGGGCAGTGCCTCCACAGACTCCTACTTTGGTAACAACAGCTCACGCATGGCTGACTACAGCCCTCCCAGCCCCGCACTCAGCTACACCACCAACAACAACAATGGCAACAACAATAACAACAACATCAATGTCAACGGCAATGATTTTGTTTACGAAAGTGAGGTGATCTCGCCTGATTGCACTGATCTGACTTTTGATTCCTCACCCGGGTTTGACCCTACGCAAGCCCCACCGAGCCTCCTGTGGTCCCAGTATGATAGTCGCACGACCCCTTCCTCCACTGGAGGCAGCTCCCCCACCGCCAACTCAGCCATGTTCCCCACCAACACCTCCGCTAATGCCAATGGGATTGTGGTGAGTCAGAGAAGGGTTAATGGATGTACTCCACAGCCCAGACTGTCACCTCCACTCCATAGCCACACTGGAGGACCCACTGAGCACCCATTAGCCCGGAGGGTGCGCAGTGACCCGGGCGGAGGCCCGCTCAGTTTCCCTGGTTACTCCAGCACCATCGCCTCCCTGCCAGGCCCTCACCTACCTGGAGTTCCATGCGACTCCTCCGCCTCATCCACTTCCTCCTCTTCCTCTTCCTCCTCCTCCACCTCGTCTGGCACCAGCCGAAAAGGCAGCCGCGACTGTTCGGTGTGCTTTGAGAGTGAGGTCATTGCAGCCCTGGTCCCCTGTGGGCACAACCTCTTCTGTATGGAATGTGCCAATCGAATCTGTGAGAGGAACGAGCCCAAATGCCCTGTCTGCCACACGGGCGTCACTCAGGCTATACGTATATTTTCATAAGAAGTGTAACTCTTTGACTATCTTGTCAGTGAGACTGGCTACAATAGCAACAACAGACTCTTCATGCCGCTTTAATGGGATTACCCAATCATCATTTGGAAAGTGTACATAGATATACATATGTATGTAAGAGGCTGCAGTATCCAGAAGAAGGGACAGACGCCCTCTTTGGGCTTAGTCACTGCTGACTGGGGTGCCGTCGTTGTTAATAATATACTGTAGCTTGGGGAAATATTTTCAACATCTAAGTGCATGTTTTAAATAGTAATCAATAGTTCTAGTAAATTGTATTCTATATTTATGAAGTGAAGAGAGACAGTAGGGTCAGGACAGAGGTAAGTGGGTCAAACTGTGGACTGTTAGCAGGCTGAGCCTTACAGTTTTGCCAATTGAATGTAGGAAGAGGGGAGGGCCATGCTGGGAAACATGGAGGGCTTCCAGCCAAACAGGACTATTGACTTACAAAGATACTGCAGCTTGTGGTCAAACACTACGTGAGGGAGAGCAACAACATATCCTACATATATATGTATAGAATAAATTTCCACAAGTTGAAAGTTTTAAATGACATTAATACAGATTGAAGTATTTTATTCTTTTTTGACTTGAAAGATTATATTTCTTATTGCAAAGATGTTTACAGATATTTTAATTTAAGTTCAGTGAACTTTTTGTAGCTGGGTTGAAATAGTGTTTATTTTTTAGTATGGCCTTATGGCATTGATCACTGTATTATTTTAATATCACATTACCGTGGGAGGAAATCCAAGTCCACAAAATGTGTATTGCATTTGACAGTATTCTGTTGGGGTGGAGTTTTTATAGTTTCAGCAAAAAATGTCTTTTAAATCTGCTTCACCCAGCATATTTTTTATTCAGTAAGATAAAGTATATTTTATTCTATATTATTATGAAACATGGAAATATACAAAACTTAGTAAGTTGAACACAAAGAAACCGTTAATGCTTTCTAAAATTTGTATGAATTAGATTCCAGTGGGAATTACAGGCTTCTGTTGCACCACTATAGTTTTAGTATTTCTATTTTAATACATTTGTTTACCACTTGTTTATGTATATGTAGGTGAAGTTACTTGAGCATAAATGTACTTTATTGAGCAAAGTTTAAGAACAAAGTATATTTTATTTTATGATAAAGGGCCTTTAACCTCATGGTCAAATACTAATATTATATTTGCTGAGACAAGATTTGAAAATGTATCAAGAGTTTTATTTTTCTGACATTTAAAGTTATACATTATAAAAAGTAAAACTTAAGTAATGGTGCTACTTCATGTTTTTTTTTAAGTATTTCTATATAAGTCCAATAAAAAATGGTACATTCATGAAGTGTGTGCTTCTCATGTTCTTCCTGACGTGTCATCTTGCGTTCTGCAGGATTGTTAAAGTTTAATAGTTGTCTGAACATTTGACCCCTCTCTGCTTCCTAATGGAAGCTTGGAGGTGGCAGGAGATGGCATTGGCCTAATTATTGAGCTCTGGCAGTGAGACCGGGAGATGAGGCCTGGCTTATCACTAATTACAAGTGCGTTGTAACTTATTCTTATGCAGTCTGGTACAAAGACAATAATCTGGCTCTTCTGGGTAGTGATAGATCGGTCAGAAAATTAATCACCAGCAATTTAATAAGAATAAAATCTTAGAGCTTCTCAAATGTGATGATTTGTTGCTTCTGTCTGTTTTATATTATTATAATCAGAATATCTTATGGTTGACATTTTAAGATGCCACCTTAAGCCCTGGGAACTTCTGATGAGCACTGTTCACTCACTTCATTTTATTTGATAGACTACTCAAAGATTGATCGATCAATTGAAAAAATAATCAGATGAAATAATTATACTTGCAGCCATGCTGTTAAGGCCTCAAGATTAGCAGCAAATGTTTGGTCAGATTCCTGCTCTCGTTGATTTTGATCAGACATTTACTGGTATCGTTTTCACCTGTTCACCTGTGTGTGTGTGTGTGTGTGTGTGTGTGTGTGTGTGTGTGTGTGTGTGTGTGTGTCATCGTAAGATGTGGTCCTGGAGACACCTACTGTAGCAGGAACTACCGCAGAGACATTGTTGAGGTGTTTCAATGTCTGTGGCCAGATTTGGACCGGTTGGGTTGAGTGGAGAGAAATGAGGGAAGGGAGGAAAGAGGAGAGAAGACCAGTAACAACTGTATATACTGTTGTATTCAAACATTGTCCTTTTTTAAATTAGTCCAAACATTTCTTTGGGCCGTACAGTCTGCATCCTCACACATGGTGCTGGAAACACTCACGTTTGCAAACAAAAAGAGCACACTAAGGTTTAATAAATAAAAATACATAGTAATATACAAAAATATTTGCATTTGCATTTACATAGTACATGTAGACATTTCACACAGCCTTACACGGGCAAATATCCACTGAGATGCAGAGGAGCTGACAGTAATAATAAACAAGTAAAGTTAGCATACAGCTGTGTGTTAGATGAATCAGTTGCAACAGTTAGCTTCCTAGTTTGCCAGTAAACCAAATCAATTCATTAGTACAGCCTATCTGCTGTAGCTAGCACACAGTTACCTATGATTTTGGGCATGAAAACTATTTAAATGCTGTTTGGTTGGGCAGGAAAATGCTATAATATGATGCAAACAACAAGACCATAAACACACATGTAACAGAAGAGTTAACTCACTGTAAATGACTGTGCTGCGGTGACTTTTACTAGTACATAGTAAGTGAGCGAAGCGTCATTCTACAAGTTTCAAAGTACTTCTTGGTAGCTGCGACAGAGCATATTTACTGTTTTTGATTAACCGCTACTAGTGTCCAAGTCACAAGTGACAAAGGAGTGTTGTGCTAACTGAAGACCCGCCTTGATGAGAGGTCTGAAAAGGTTGCATTTTCATTTTCATGTTGACACCAAAATAGAATGGTGACATGTAAACGAAAATGCAATAGACTGGGAGCGTTGCTCATTGTGTTTGAATATTGTTCACTGTAGAATGAAATGTCAAATGCTGTTTTCATTTTCAAAATGTTGGAAAACTGCATTTTAATTTTCATTGTGACCTGAATTTTGCTTGCATATATGAAAAATTTGGTTAAAATGTCTATATTGCATTTTAATTTTCAAATGTGAACTAACATTTCAACATAGTCCACTGTGTAGCAGGAAATAACTTTGACAATGAAATGTCAAACAATTTTTCCATATTCATTTTAACATGTTCATAGAATGCCCTAATGAGTATGTGAAAATGAAAATGCTAATGCTAATGTTACTGTTGAATTACATTATCATGTGAATATAGATTTATATTCCCCTATACGCAATATAGCAGGGGTTTTTTTTACACGTCCTCTCATCTATCAAAATATCCCAGAGCAACAACCAGTACTTCCACATCATACTCTGATGAAAACTGTGGTGTTTACAGGAAATACATGAGAGATTCACCAAGCAGCAAAATGCAGTAAAACTCAAATATCACCAAGTCGGTACTAAATAAACATTAAACATTCTTTAATTCTTTAACATTCTTTTAAATTTTTCCTTTATGCGATTCATAACTATTAATAAAAATTGCACTGTTAAGGACACTTAACACACTTAACAGAACTAAAATTGATCTGATTTGTAGATTAAGCAGGTACTGAGCGTTCGACATCTTCTTCATGGCACAAAGTTATAGATATTATAGAAGTTATAGATAAAGATAAGACAAACACAGAGGTGTGAAAGCCAGCAAGACACCATGTATTTCAGTTAATTTTCAATTCTGTTGATTTTCATTTAACCCTAGTGCTGAACTGCTTTTAGAGCCATGAGAAAAATCTACATTATATTCTATATCAAAATATTAAAACAGTAATAAACTAAATAGCAAACAAAATGGACCACGTCTTGGAGGAATTGATCATCCTGAAACTGAACCTGATAAATCATGTCTCATCACTCAAAAAAACTTTAATGAAGCAACCTTGATTAAAACAATGAACAATCGAGCAAATAGAAAATATGGCAAACGTAATTCAAACATTCTCCAACTACAAAATTTTACAATACAAGGAAAAGAAAGTAACTGCAAACAAAAATATCTTCAAAACTGCTGCCTTTTTAAAACATGAGGGAGCCTTTCAAAATTCAAGTTCTCCTACCTGTGAACTTTGAGCAGTTGAGGTGCTTTGCACTTGCTGCTTGGACCATTATCACCACTTCCAGTGCTTCTTCTTTGGGGTCCACTGTCACGCGTGGGTAGGAAGAGATTTCCAACATTTATTTGCTCCTTCAGAGGGAGAACTTCCTTTTAGTCTTTTTCTGCACTTCTGCTCCGTCAGCAAGGAAAACGACACTGACGGTTCTTTTACTCATAAATGCACACAGATGCATTCAATTAACATGTTGTATTCAGCTTGTAAGAGTTATACATAATAATATGTAATTATGATTATGAGAATTACAAACAACATTATAAAGGTGAAATATGACATGTTGATACTCAGTTGTGTTCACCTCAGACTTAACAATTGCCCTCTTGGCTGTGTGTTTTATTAGGCTGTTATTTTTCAGGGGGTAGGGAGTCATTTCTTGGCATCAATGGACAAAAATTCCATTATCACCTTTCAGCATATTGTCCTTCATGCAAGGTCTGAGAGCAATCTAGACATCTGTAACTCCTCTTGGTTCTTGCTTTAGAAAATCTAGTGGGAGGGGAGACTTTGGCTGTTCACAGGTCTTTTCAGACTTTTCCTATCGGCTGTTTAAATAAAGTTGTCTGTGTTGGGAAGAGTGACTCAGCTGCTCAGCAGGAATTTTCATGTGTTTTGGACAATGCATGAGGAAGGTCAGTGTCTCCTCCTCTGTCCACTACGTGGCACTAGAGAACATCCACAAATTATGTGTCATGTTGTGTTTAATCCACACCATGTAAATTTCATGTAAAATGAATGATTTTTGTCACATTCCTGTTGACAGTAGATGGCAGTATGACTATGACTCAACATTGACATGTAGATATGTTCAAGCCTGGACTCTCATCAAAGTTTGGGGGTATTGGACAATGCCTATTCAAATTACAATTAACTGTAACATATGTCATGAAATTGCAACAACAGTTCCACCTAGTGGCTGATTGGCACCAAAGAGCTTCAGCAGGGCATGAGAAACTACTGGACCAATTTTGTGTTGTGATTGCCAAAATATGCAACACTTTCTGTTTATAGGAAGTTTGTTCCTTTATAAATTGTGTATATATATATATATATATATATATAGTCAAGTCATTTTTAGGCGTAAACTGAGTTTGCTTCGAAAATAAAAGCAAGAATACTTCATACATGACAAAATATAAAATAACATATAAGATAAGAAAATATTACATAAATAAACATAGAACAAAAAAAAAACAGAATAGGAAGGTATTATTATTATCATTATCCTAAAAGGGAAATAATAACAATAATATTACTAACTCACACCACACACTTAAACCTAACTAAAGGCTTGCGAAAAGAGATATATTTTTAATTTACTTTTAAAAGAAGACACTGTTGTAGCAGACCATAGTTCATATGGTAAAGAATTCCAGAGAGTAGGACCATGAGGACTGAAAGCACCATGAGCTGATTTAGAGTTAATGCTTGGTATAGTAGGGAGACCTTTATATGATGATCTAAGGGATCTCTTTGATGTGAGTATGTCACAAACCTAGGAAGGAGCTAAACCATAAAACATATAAAAACAATGAGAAGTATTTTAAAATCAATTCTTTGTTTTACTGGGAGCCAGTGAAGAGATGATAAAATAGGAATAATGTGCTCAGACCTTTTGGTTTTTGTTAAAATTCTGTCTGCTGCCTTCTGAATAAGCTCCAGCAAAAAGTGCATCACAGTAATCCAACCTACTAGTAATAAAAGCATGGACCAGACCACAAGTATGTAATTGTTGGTAAACAATCTTTTCAAGAATCTTCCCCAAAAATGGAAGGTTTAATATTGGTCTATAGTTCTCAAAAACTAGTGGATCCAGATTATTCTCTTTTTAAAAATGCTTTTACAATAGCATGTTTGAGACATGAGGGGAAGATTCCAGGATGTAAGGAGGCATTAACAATCTCAAAAACATCCTCCACCAAACAACTAAAAACATTTTTGAAGAACTTAGTAGGCATTGGATCAAGAGCACATGTTTGCAGAACTAAGCTGCTGCACCACATCATGAAGCTCATTGGATCTAATTAGGGCATATTTGCACTGAGTGTTGGCA